GGGGGGGCCTGGGGAGGGAGAGCTGTGGGTGCTGGAGGGACGAGGTGGGGGGGCAGGCACCCATAGGTGGCCCCGTGGACCAGATCCGCCCCCCACCCTGGTGGGTCCTTACCTTCCATGAGGACCTGGAGGACGTCACGGAGGATGGTCAACGTTGTTCCCAGCACCAGCACAGAGAAGACGAAGGTGCAGATGGGATCCACATACTTGTACTCAGGCTGGAGGGGATGGGAGAAGGTGAGGCCCCTCCAGCACTATAACCTCACCCCAAATCCCTGTCGGCATCACCAGAGAGAGGACACAGTCTCCTCCATCTCACCCCTGTGCCCAGCCAGAGCTGGCTGAAGCCACTGTCCCCACCCCCAGCGCCCCCATGGACCACCCAGACCTTAAAGAAGATGATGTAGGACGCAATGAGGACGCCCAGGCTCTGCAGCAGGTCCCCTACGACGTGGATGAAGGCGGCACGGACGCTGGTGCTGGGCTGCTCGCCGGCCGCCCCGTGGCTGTGCCCGTGCCCCGTCTGGTGCAGAACCACCCCCATCCTGCGGGCAGGGCAGAGGTGACATCCCCGGGTCCCTAACCCTAGGAGTGACCCTCCCGGTCACTCGGGGAGGGCGAGGGGTGGCCCTACTACGTACACAATGTTGGCGACCACAGCGCAGGCCGAGGTGATGAGCATGACGTTGCCGGCGATGTCGTAGTCACCCGAGAGCAGGCGCTGGACCGCCAGGTAGACCAGGACACCTGTGACCACCCAGATGGAGAGCACGGAGAGGAGGGCACCCAGGATCTCTGTGGAGAGGACATATCCACCCCGCCAGCCCTGCACTGCTGCTTCTCCAAACCTGAGCACCCTCCCCGTCACCCCCAGGGCCGGGGTGGGCACCCAGCACCCACCCCTGTGGTTGTTCCCTGCATGGAGACAGCAGTGCCTGTTCCCTGCTCGTGTCCTTGGTGCCAGGGCTTTGTCAGGGCTCCCTGTGCCCCCTGGGGCTCCCTGAGGCACCAGGTCCTCATGAGGAGGGGACCCTGGGATGCTCCCTGTTACCTGCCCGGTGCCAGCCAAAGTTCATGGTTTTGGTGGGGGGCCGTGAGGAGACCCAGAGTGCAAAGAGGCTGATCATGATGCTGGCAAAGTCCGTCAGGAGGTGGGCTGCGTCCGTCATGATGGCCAGGCTGTCTGCCAGGTACCCGCCTGCAGAGAGGGGACAGTGGGGACATCGGGGTGGCATGAGGGAGGGGTGTCTCAGCATGAGCTGCACACAGACCGGGTCACCCCAAGCACAGTGGGTGCTTCACCCCACTGAAAAGCAACGGGAGCTCTGCCCACACCCCAGGAGTCAGGACAAGAGGGGCTGCGGGCAGGGGACGCCCACACCCTGCACCCACCACTCACCCGTGACTTCCCCCACCATGAAGGTGAGGCAGATGCCTGCAGCCAGGTAGAGCTTCCTGCGGGCTCGCTGCCGCTGGCCGGGGGGGGCGGGCGCCCCCCCCGCGGCGCGGGGGCGGC